TCTGTTTACTTGTGACCACTCAGTGTATATGTGTGTGTGTGTGTGTGTATATATATATATATATATTGAAGTTGTCAAATTCCTTAGTTGTTAAGGATAAGGCCATATTTGAAATTACCTAGAAGAGGTTGACAAAAAAAAACTACAGGAATTTTGTTTGTGGTTGATATATTTTGCAATTTTTGAACAGAAGTACGCCTTAAAACTTCAAAAAAAGTTTGGGTGAAAGTATACGTGTTTAACTTTAATGCAGCTAGTTTTTCAGGAATTTATATACATACCAATATACTGATAGTCTGATTATGTGTATTCTTATTTTAATGTAGATGTTTAATTATTATTCATTGGTGGCAGATTTAAAGATTTTCATATATCTTTAGGGGCAAGATGTTACATTCTAAAAGTTTTCTGACTAACTAACTAACTATTCTTTCATTTCTCTTGTTCTATAGCTCGAGGCTTTCACTTCGAGGAATTTGGTTAGTACTCATCATGTAACAAATGTTTGTGTCTGTAAATTTTCTGTATTGCATGCATGTTTATCTTTCCGTGCTACTCCTTTTTCTTAAAAACTCCCTATATTCCTAGTTTTCTATTTTTTCACACAGAGAAAAAGTTACTTAAAAAAAAGATTAATTCTGGATTTTATGTGAATACTCATTTTAAGATTAAGTGTAATTACTAAAATAACAATTTATATGAGAAATACCTTTTTCTTCAGTTTTTCTTGTATTAAAGATCGCTGTCTAGCACAGCTGTAGTAGATTTTAATTTTGAATTGAATACTGCTATGCTTACTTGTGACATTAAAAAGCAGAAAAAACATGAAAAACTATTGCCATATTTGTATCTTATATCTACCTCTTCTTGTAAAAAGAAGCTTTATGAATACAACATAAAAGTAATTATATTAATTCAAAAGTTTTGCTTACTCACTAAAATTAGTCAAAGCATGAAAAGTTTTATATAATCAAAACTTAAACTTATACAATTTGACCATTTTTCTATTGATAACTAAAAAAAAAGATTCAATTTCAAAATGCATTATTCATGCTCCTTATATGAGAAACAGAAAATTTTATGATTGAGTAGATGTGCAATTTGACTAATTTTTTAAGCTACAAATTGAATATCCAAATCTGCCCTTGGTAAAAGCCTAACAGTTCCAATGAAAATCTATAAGTAAAAGTGAATCTCGGTCCACAATAGGCTTTCTTTTTGAAGTTCTTGTAATGCATTTTAAATATCTTATCTTAAAAGTTTTACAGGTTATTTTAAGGAGGCTGCACTCCTCCATCTTTTTTCTCCTGAAAACATGCCAGTTTGTTAAAAATGAGCAAAACCTTTGTGAAGATTTTTTTGTAGCATCTATTCTCCAAGAACATTGTTGTAAGACGGGGAATGGATTGTAAGTGAGGAGGTGTAGCAATTGAGTTGATAAACTTGGTAGAAATGGCAAAGCAGCAGAGATGTGCTCAAGATTTCTACACTCTGAAGTTGATACATTTAATGTATGGACCTTAATAATAATCTTGAATTTTGCTTCTATGGAAAACTATATTCTACATCGAAAAGGGATATATCTTAAAAAATATTTTAATAATGAAATAATTCTCCAATTCAGGGTTAAGTGCTTATTCTAATCATAACATAAAGCAGAAGTTAAATGATGTGAATCAGAAAAGAGCAAGAAACTTAAACAGCATCGATATCTTTATTCTCTTCATTGTAGCAAGATATTTTATTGCTGAAAATTTTTTTGCTGTCTTTGACTTCTACAATTTTGTCGTGGTGTGAATTTTCGTCAAGTTTTCAAATAGTAGTTATTGCAGTAAGAATATAGGGGTTATTCTATAAAATATTTTTGCTTTTAAACATATGGGGAATTTAATTATGAATTTGGTTTGCTATTGGACTACTAAATTAGTATATCCAGTTTGGTTTGGATCAGTCAACTCCTTTAGGAGGAGATGCATCCACAGACAGAGGGAGAAAGTTTTTTCCTTAATATTGGATAGTTATTGCACTTGTATGGCTTGATATGTATTGAGCATATCTAAAGAATGCCTGTATCTCACTTTGCCTTGCTTCACTCACTAGAGCTGAATAAATTTTTAACACCATTAGAAGGAACTTTTTAATACAGGCCATGAAAGCATATGCATGTTTACTGCTTTTTAGTGTAACAGTTAGCTAAAGCTTAAAACATTTTTTCCAGGATTAATGGCAGTTGCTGACTAATAAAATATGTGCTGAAAAATAACAAAATTCCTTACTACAAAAAGGAGTTATACACATGGTGAATGTAATGAGTATCACATGGTCTATTTCTTTTACTACTTGGCTAGTCAGAGTAAACAATTCTTGCAAAATGTCAGATGACTATTTTGCCAAAAAAAAATGTCTCAATGTCTCAGAAAGTAAAGATTGCCACACCCTTTCAGCAGAGGTTTGAAACGCCTAGTGATCACTTTTAACCATGCAAATTGTTAATGTTCTAGGCATTATATCTATGAACATAAGTCATCTTAACTGTGTAATAATTAAGCAGCTATCATCCGATATCCTGGAGATATTTCATAGTGAGACTTTGCTCAATAGTTTGGAAAGTAAGGGTCACAGTGCCTTTTTGATTAAGTCAGTATTTCAATCAACAAACATTTTATGTTATTATAATCAAGTGGCATGAACATGATCTAGTGCATAAATTGTATGATGAACATCATTTGATAGCTTCAAAAGCAAGGAGCAATAACTTATTTCAGTTATTGTTTCATAAACTAAATGACTTATCTAGTTGCTTGTCTGGCAGTTAACCCCAGCAATAACAATAATTATAAATATTGATACCTTTTCTTTAAGCACTTCCTTATATGACTCATCTTGCATAACTAGATAAATACTTTCAGAATACTTCTTGTCAGCTGGGTTGAAATGATACGAGGCAGTATTCTTGCCATCCTCAAACTTGCTAGTCTTGTAGTTTGATTCTGAGGAAAAGTTGGGGCTGAGACACCAGGTTTTTTTGTGGGATTCTCTTGTGAAGTGAGGTATTACACACACACATACTCCAACTCTACCTTTTTGCCAAAAGGAGTTTAAAGCATGTCTTTTTCTGATCATCAATATGTTCATGGGCGAAAGAGTAAGTCCATTCACAGAGAGAAACAGTTGAGCCAGAAAGGCATAGGGTCTAGGATTAGTCCCCTCGTGGACAGACTTTTGTCAATGCTGCAAAAGCCTAAGACATTGGCCAGCCTTCAACTACTGATTCAACATGATCTGCGGGTGTCTGGTGCTCTCAACTACATGAGCAAGCCAAGCTTCTGATGATCAATCTTAGCAACAGTGAAGTGCCAATGGTTGAAATCCACTGTTATGTTGAGATTTCTAGCATGTTTCAGACCACATTGGGAGGTCTATAACAAAATCCCAGACTTTTGCCAATTGGAGTGCAACAATCCTTGTTCTGATCTAAACCAGTGGTGATGAATGGAGAACAGAAACTGGGCATGCTGTTTATGGATGATGTACATCATTTACAGTTGTCTCCCAATAGGAGAGACAATAGGCAGACATTAGTGAAGACTGTGACTCATGTCCTGCAGCACCATAGAAAAAAACCTAGGGAATCAATGGAAGCTCCAATAATTTGGATTGAGCGAGGCTATAGAACAAGCTACCATGGGCTGCTTGTTGTCCCACAACCATGAACTATTGAGCAGCTACACACTCAGATGGTGGAGTAGATCATGAAAAACTGAGAAGATCAGCTATACCTTTCCCTGGTGTTTACCAAAGTCAGCATGCAAGGGAGAAGCTTTTTTTCCTAACACATATGTTTCACAAAGTGAGGCAAAGCAGATCATACCTCCAACATTTAATGAGATTGTGAAAGAAGATTTTGACCAGTTCTTGAGATGTTTCAGGCAGGTTACAGCCTGGAATAAATACACTATGGAGCAAGCAGTCCAATGCTTCTGATTGAATGTGGATGGTCTAGTCATCAACCACCAAGGTGAAACACAGATGAATAACTGAAATTATCATGAATGATGTATTCCACTAACTTGACCAGGGAAAAACAGGGCAATTTGCAATGTTAAGTCTCAAAAGGTAGACATCACTGAGGAACTGGCTGCCTCTGTGGATGATCTGCACTGATTGCACAGGAAGGCATATCTGATTATGGCCTTAGCTGATTGGAAGGACATCCTCATGGATAAGTTCATAGAGGCAGCCCCTAGTGAACTCATGCAACAACACAAAGGGGTGAAGGACATCTTTACCCTCACTGAGGTTATGTCCCTCACAACAAATTTTGAAGTGTATTGTTGATCTGGCTGATGGAAATTAGAAAACCTACAGCAGCAGCTGTAGTGACAACTCCGCCAGCAAAGGGTACAGTGTAGATGCCACTATCACAAAGGACCAAGGTCAATAGGGGGTACCAATTAGCCACTTCCTCAAAATGTAAGTTTTGGGCAATTGAACTGGCCACCAGTGAGTGGAAAAATTATATGGGCTATCCCAGTGTTGTCTCAAAGTCTGCTGATGGGGTATCTCCATATTCACTAACAGTTATAGTAGTACCACTTATGGATATCGTGCAAGACAAAAGTGGCAGGGCCAACAGCTCCAGCCCATGCCCCCACAAGTTCTTACCAACACCCTCATCCAACACCACCCATCGACCCAACATGACTAAGATGATCAGTGTTGAACTGTGGATGCTGAGGTAAGCAGACCTCTAAATGCATCCTACTTTTTACTCCAGTGTGAGTTAAGAACATTAGTGTACCAGCCATACCACCAACAAGCATAAAGTAGAAGATTTCAACAATAAATGGATACCGAAGTTAACACAACACTTCAAGAGCTCCAGGATGAGCAGGCCCACAATACAGAAACACTGATGGACACTCACTGCACAGAGAGACCCTATCTGTTCATGAAATATCCTAATTCTGGACACTATATAGGATTTAAGAATATCACTCTAGTAGTAACTAGCATAAAGTTCAATAGACTTCAACATTTAATGAATACTAAAGTTGAAACTTCAAGAGCTCCAGCATAAACAATTATGGTGCCTGAGTTAGTGTGGATGCTTCTTGTGGTGCAGTATAGACCATCCCATCCAGTGCTAGTTGAGAGCATAGTATGGATGCACAAAACCTGTAGCCTGAGTGTTGAGATGCTGCAGCTAGTGGTCCCCAACACTTTGCAGCAATAGATACTCCAGACATTAGACAACACTAGGATCTGAGGGCACCAAGGCATGATATAGACTTGTGCTAACATCTGACTGCAGTTTTCTGGTTGCAAATCAGTCAGTTAGGATGTATGGCTCTGGTGTGAACACTGTACAGTGTATGCCACCCAAAGAAAGAACTGACTAAAAATGGTAAGCTCCAACAGATAATTGTTGGTTCTTCTACAGAAAATAGTCGTGGACATTGCTGGTTCATATCCAGAAACTTTAAGAGGCAACCACTATATCCTTGTGGTCATTGATTATATTGCAAAGTAGGCCAAATAATATATTTTGCCTACACACAATTGTGGATGTGTTAGCATAGAATTAGCATAGGTTGGAGCACCAGAGAAAATACATAGATCAAGGGGCCAACTTCATCAAACAACTGTTTACCAAGTTGTATATGGTGTTAGGTGTGATGAAGACTCCTACTGATGAATGAGATATATGGTGTGTCACCATGGAAAGAAATCCCATAGTACTACTACAAATATGTAGAGTGGCTGATATTGATGATGGTCAATGCATGAGTTCACATAGCAACTCAGGAAGGTGGTCAAATATCATAAGTGTTATGACTTAACAGCGAAGGAATGGATGTTCCATGGTGGTGACTGTACATGCTAGCAGCAGAGAAGCAACTGGGATCTAAATGGACTGGTCCATACCTAGTACTCTAACAAGTGAATCCATGGATATGAAATACAGTGGACACAAGGAGTGAGAAAGCTCATGAAAGACATCATAAAGCTGCATTCACAAATCTCAAATGAGTCCTTTCACTGGCTAGACCAGGAGTCTGGAGATAAGCTTGATGAGTATAAGGAAAGCGAAAATGCAGCCTTGGGTCATCATGACCTCAAAAACAGCAAAGAGGACACAGCAGACACTTATTTGATGGTGTTTGAAGAGCCAGATGAGGAGTTGGTGGAAGTAATAATCATCGCCAGTCCCAATTGGTTATCAAAGCTCTGATGTCAACTTCCCAGTCAGTATGAATGAGGCTGATTGGTTGAGAGCAGCAAGGATAATCATTAGATTATACACCTGATGATTGAAAGAACACGCATTCCTTGCTTTCCTAGCTATAGAGTAGCAGAGTCCAGTTTAGTTGTAAATTACATTTGATGACCACTTCTGAATTTCTTGTAGATAAAATGGTCAGGTAGTTGGAGGACCATTAATCAAAAGTACATCATGAATCTTTGCTTTCCAAACCACTAAGTGGATTTCATGACCCAGAATGTGATCCAAAATATCAAGGATCCATTACATTTGTAACACAGTAGAGTTTAGCACCCAATACTCTTTGGATTTTACATTGATCTTCATTGGAAATACACCATACCTGATTGACAAGAAACATTATTTTATCTGAGAATGTTGAAGTACAATAATACCATAAATTTTATTCTTGACAAGTATTCTTTAGATAAAAAAGGTAATTTTCTGAATTTTATTAATCATTATTTGTTTTGTGAAACCTGAAATAAAAAGTTGAGTTTGACAACTTCTAGATAGCACAACTGTCACAATCCCAGTAAAGTTTCAGCAGTTAACATAGATGTTATGAAAGTTAGCCTTGCACTGACTGGAAGCAACTTGTGAATACTACTAGAATACTTGACAATATATATAAAGGTAGCATACATACAAATCATGGGTGTATGTAAACAAACACATATGGAGGAAACATTATGCTGTGTAAATGATGAGAGGTGAAGAAATTAGGTAGAGAACAAGGACAACTTTTAGATATAGAACTTGATCCTGATGTTGAGAATCAATAAATTGGAGATGAACTGTGTTTGAGAGACCTGAAAGGCATTACTGGAAAATACAGGGTGCTTATGAGTTTTGTTAATGTTGAAAGAACGGACTAATATCACATGAATTGTGTCACTTCTTAAGTCATTTCTCTTCAAGGAAAACCCCTTGTTCTCAACATGCTCATTAGCTTATTTGTATGCTGATCTCGGGTCAAATACCTGACAACTTTCCAGTCTATTTCTTGTACTAAGAACTTTCCACTTATATTCGCATCATGCTTATTTTATCATTCATAACTAACATCATCTATACATTCCATTTCTCAGAATTATCACATGATATAGTGTAGTTTCAGTTAGTGGTGTGAGGAGCAATGTTATCCAGCTTGAACAAAATGAACTCATGATTGTATATTTAATGTCATTTTGTGGAAGTTTTTTTATATGTCTTGCAGGTTTCATAATGACCAAAAGTATAGTCTTCTAGTGATATATATTCCTACTATGTATAAATTACACATGTTCTTAGCATTTCTAATATTAGACATTCATTCATATTCACTCGGTATATATTTCTTTCCTTTTTTTATAAACAGTATTTAGTCTCCACGTGTATTTATTTTTCTTCTTGCTAACTACATTCATTTAATGTATGACTTCAGCAAGTATTCAGTGTGAATTGTCTTGTCATTTTTAAAAATTTAATTAACTTTAACTTCAGTCTTTTTCTTGTATATTTCATTAAGATAATTTCATTTGTTATTGTTTTTCTGTTGTTCCCAGTTTGTGTATAGAGTGATTTGTGTGCTATTTTTTTGACAATTGCAGTGATCAGTATATATACACAGTGATTTTTTTTCCCAATTGCAGAGTTGATACCACGGCAAGCTCGACCTCCTGATGATCCTCCTCTATACTTATGCTTACGAATTGGTCGGCCAAAAGATAAGAAATCTACAAGATCCACTACAGTTTTTTCTTATGGAAAAAAACAAATAAGAAGTGAATATTGGTTCAGTATTCCTCGACATAGGTAAAAGTCATTTTGTAATTTATTTTATATATTTTTAGTTGATGTGTTAAATTTCAATTAGTTCATAGTCGTATTCAACTTTTATGTCTAGTAATTTTATTGTAGCTTTGTTAGTAATATTGATAAGCAAATTATATGTTTGAAGCTTTAAAATTCTTTTTTTTTTTAATATGTGCTAGATATACAATAATTTATTTTCTGTAGAGTGGATGACTTGTACAGATTTTTTCACCGCTGGACACCAGATAGATATGGTGATGTTGATGCTACCAAACCTGAGGACATGGGCTTTGATCCAATTAACTCTGATGAAGAACAAGACTTTCCAGATGATAGTGACAATTTATTTGATGAAGAAACTAATGGTACTGACTCCCAGGGTAAAAAAGGTAAACGACCTGGTCCCTTGGATTTGTTGAAACTGGTAGAAGAACATTTTGGTACTGAAATGAGCCCATCTGATTGGGAGGTAGGCATGTTTTACTTTTGTAAACCATTGTATATAATAAATCAGCCATTAATTTATAAACAGCTTCAATAAATCTGAATTAGAAGATCTAGCTGTAAAATATTTACTTTTTTTCCATTTCTATTGATCTGTCAATGCAGAGACTTTGAGAAAATTCCTTTATCTCTTTCAGCATGGGTTTGGTCTCCAGGACCAACCTTGTAACCATTTGGTACTTGTTATAGTTTTAAATTAGTGAATGTATGTTAACGAAATTTGGCAAATTATCAGTAAATATTACAATGCTTTCATGCACAAAATATCAGTTTTTTTTTGTTAAGTCTTAAGATTTGTAAAGCAATGTTTTCTCATGCCATTTTTTTTCTTTTCGCATATTGTCTATCCAACATGCAACATAGTTTTCATTTTAAGATTAAAAATACTTTTATGCATCAGAAAATTTTCAAATTTCACATGCAAAATCTTTATAATGTCCAGATAGTTATCAAACATTTTTTAAGAAAAACTATATTTTATCTGTTCTTTTCAGTAACAAATCTCTCTACAGGTTTGGTCAATTTGACTGATCTCATAATCACGTTAAAAAAAATGAGGAAATAAATATAAATTATACCTTTTTTGTTCTAGAATGACTACAAATTATAACATGAAAACATAAATGTTTAGACTAAATAGCTTAAATCTCATAACATTATACATTTATATATATTTATTATTTTTACTATATTGACTTTTCAGCCATGCTTGGCTAACTATACAGAAGGTACAATGACGAGGTACACGTACACTCATGTTACTTTATCGAACAATATAAACTGACCTTTAGTCTTTACAAAGTAACTTGTCTTGGCTGTGTTTTAGTAGACTAATATTTTGTTAAATATACTCATACTTCAATTGTTAGACATTATATATGCATATAGATTATTGCTATTTAGAAATAAGTTCTTAAACTTATTTTTCTTAAACATAGAACAGTAACTAAAGAAGTAAAGGAAACAATGATCTCTTCTAGTTATGACCTTTGTACTCGTTTGCTGCTTGATATAGGTTGCTAAGCCGATTAAAATTTTGCTCGTGGAAGATATGAAACAAAATAATTATTTTTAGGTTTTATATATGCATTTGAATAACCAAAAAAATCATAAATTACTATATCAGTACCACTATAATTTATAAAGCATAGTAACTAAGCTGTATTTCAATTTAAACAAATATGAAATTTTGAGCAGACTAAAAACACAACCCACCTCCTTGAAATCTTGGTTCAAAAGAAAGAAATGGCATCCAATAACATTAAAATGGTTGAGAATGCCACTAGGGAGACATTCAGAGCTTCCAATTGGTTATTCATGTCATATATAGAAATAAGTGTATATAAGGAAGTGTTTCCAAAAATTGAAAGAGGTGTTTGATTTATTACATGAGCAAGATCTTAGCAAACTAAAAAGATAAGAAGCTCTTCTTTTATATTCTAGCTTGTCAATATCGGTAATTTGAGTTCCTAATTCGTATGAAACTATAGACTTAGCATTTTGACATCATAAACATCTAATTTGAACCAGTGCTGCATTCAACATACCACATGACACACAAAAATCGTTTTTTAAATGTGTTTTTTTATATTTACCTTTAAATGAAAAAATTGTGTAAGGTGTAATACTAAAATTTGAATTATAATCTACAGTTTGATACCAATAAAATTTTGAATGCAAGTTAACAAATGCAATTACATGGCTTCTCACCTGTGACTCATCTGGAAAGGGTTATTAATCTTAGTTAACTCTCAGCACATAAACTCGATCATTTTGACCAACCTTGTAACCTCCAGCTGACCATGAAAGTATACACACTACAACTCTGAATTTATCTAAGTGTAAACATTACAAGTCTGTTGTGCATAAATAATCAGATTTTTTAATAAAGTATATTTACTTTAATGAGTCAGTCTGAATGCAAGGTGGTATTCGTGTTACGAATAAAAATACTTCATGTTATAATCTTCATGTTTCATTTGCATAACCTTAGAACCTCCTAAATGAATATCAAAAGTTATTTTTTGATAGAACTTTATATTTTATTTGTTATTTTGTTACCCAGACACTATACTGGTTTAGTCCATTTAACTGATCTTATAACCACCACAAAGAAAAAAATAATTCTAAATTATACTCTTTTTTTTTTTTTCTAGAATGTAGAAGATTGTAACAGAAAATTACAATTATTTATCCTAAACAGTGTAAGGCTTGTATTATTTTATTTTTATAACAATAAATAAAAAAATATAGATGAAAAACCAGAAATGTAGTACTTACGTGTGAGTCTTGTACTTTTTTGCAGGAGAAGTCTAAAAATCTTGATAAAAGTTAACCCTAAATTTTGGTAGTGTTGTTGTTAGTACTTTACTGAATTTTTATTTATTTCAAATGCTCAATTTAGAGCTCAAAATAATAACATGCACAAAGAGTACAATGTCCTATAATTATTGTAATTTAATTAGCTTTCTAATTAAGCTATAAGTAATTTAAAATAATTCCCTTGATTAGTCAATAGCAACAAATGAAACTGTACATTGAATAATTCAAAACCTGTTGTCAAATTGAACTAGGATTATAAGGAACTCAGTAATTTAAATTTAAAAGAGCAAATTTCAGCAATCATTATGATATTTTTTGAAAGACAGGATGTGTGTGAGAAGTGAGTATTACTCTCTGGTTTATATTTCAGTTAAGCAAGAAGATTAGACACTATTGATTTAGATTATGTTATAGCAATACCGATACCATAAGTTTGTTATTTGTATTAAAATTCAAAAGGTCAAATAGGGGTTGAAAGAATATCTAAAATGGATAATTGATTAGGAAGAAGTGTCACGTGATATTTAGAAGTGAAGATTGAGAATTTTATTTAATTACCACTGATTTATTTTCTTCTAATTGTAAAAACTTTACAAATTTAGTTAAGTATAAAATTCAGATGTTACCAAGTGTTTTTAGTTGATTTCATACATTGCTTTTGATTGAAATCCTCTTCCCCCCAAAAAAAGTTAATATATAAAAATTGGCTTAGCAGTTGTATTTTAATCGTGGAAATACTAAATGTGTGTTGAAGTATAGATATCATTATTCATATTTTAGAATTTAATGTACATATCTTCAACATTTGGTTATTATTGTTTTAAATTATAAGAAATCTTTTGGACACTTTGTCCATTAGTTGTTTGCAGAAAAATTATCTCAAGCTGCTTTCTTATTTTCACACACACAAAAAAAATGTTTTGGTGACTCTGAAGTAAGTTAAATATTCCAACTCACTTTGTTATTTCACATCAAAAAAATAACATGCATATTCTAATGGCTTTTTGCCAGTGTTGGAAACATCTGTGATTCGATGTGTAATGATATATGCAGTTTAGTGTCTGAAGGTAGTGATGTATCATTTTATGCAGCTTGTGTGTTGAATTAATGGGTGAAGTTATTGTTGTATGTGTTTTTTGTAAATAATAAATTTCACTTTCTGTTACATCTGACAGTTTCAACAAGTACTTCTAGGTCTACCATCTTTTGTTAATGTACCGTTACACTTCCTTTAAAGTTTAACTTTGTGTAATGTATTCTAAAATGTACTCTACATGTTTCAAAAGTTAAGTAAAAAAAACAAAAAACAAGATTATTACTTTACTAGCTGGAGTACCTGTCCTCTGGATGGAATTTATGTAAATTTGTGACTAATGAAAGTTATCTTAGGACATGAAAAGTTGCTTCCCTTATATGTAATTGCAAAAATTGCAAAAATGCCCATAAAAACTGCAAAACAAAAAATGTGAAACCACAAGTTTGCATTATCTCCGCATGGACCCAACAAACTCTCATGCCAAATTTGGTGAGATCCATCAACAGGTGGAGAAGTAGTGGTAAAAAATGCCCATAAAAACCAAAAATACAAAACTAAAAATTTGTATGTATCTCCCCATGGACCCAATGAACCTCCATGCCAAATTTGGTGAAGATCCATCTACAAGGGGGCAAAGTAGTGGTAAAAAATGCAAAAACACCCATAAAAACCACAAACAAAAAATATAAAACTGAAAATTTTAATGTACCCCCACATGGACCTAATGAACCTCCATACCAGTTTTAATGAAGATCCATCCTCACCCTGCAAAGTAGTTACATGGACAGACAACAGACAGTACTGTTATATTTTTATAGATTGTATAAATAGTAAATGTTATAGTAAATATTTATTTTTAAAGTTAAGATGTTCCACTTGCGGTGAAAATAAGTATAGAAATTAGGGTGTTTGTGTATAGATTTAAAAAAATATAAATGATGAAATCTCATTTTCATTAAAGCCCTCTCAAAGTTAAATGCACTGAATTAGTTTATAATTTGCTTATATTTTTCTTTGTATTTATTCCTTATTTGATGAAAGTATTTTGTGTTTGTATGAATTTTTGCATAAAATATTGGTGTTTGAAATATTAAAGATTCTCAGTATAAAGAGCATGAATATTAAAATATAGGATACTATGGCTTAATCAGAGTTTTGAGTTTTAAAAAACATGCAAATTTTTTGCAAATCTTCAAGTATTCTAAAAATCAACCAATTGGGACATAACGTCTTTTGTAGGTCAGTAATGCAGCATTATTTTTATTTATTCTGTGAAATAATTTTCAGTGTACTATACACGTAGTTAGTACTATTATTATTTTCTTACATTTTTGGTCATTAATTCTGTGTTGCCCAAATAGATGAATCCCACCTGAATGGAAAACTGCATCATTGAATTAAAAAAATAATGGAAATAATATTGTAATCATTCTTCCACACATTAGAAAAAATAATACTTCAAAGTTGAAATTTATTCAATAAAAACGTTACATATGTCAAAGTTTAAAAAATCAATTTTGATTTTGTGTTGATTTCAGTGCACTCTGAATGAAAATATTAAGTGTATGTAAATTCTGACAGGAGTACTTACCTCCTTTCACAGTTAC